AAAGAAAAGAAAAGAAAAGAAAAGAAAAGAAAAGAGCAAGACTGGGGTAGGAAGGAGGAGAGGAAAAAAATAGAAAAACACCAGGCTGACTCAGCACATGTAAACAGAAACATTCCCTGCATTTATGTCAGAGGAAAAGGTTCCCAAAGCCGCCTGCATACTGCTCATGTTCCTGTCTTTCCTCTCACTGAGGCATTTGTATATAGACATACAGCCTTTTTAAGTGGTGATTTTCAGGAGGTCAGAGAAACCACTCTTCCTGATCGGTGCAGGGAAGAGCTCGGTCCGCCCTGTTAACTCACCACAGATTGTCCAATCTGACTCCCTGGAACAAGAAGCTAAATAAAAACATGGGTTGCCCTGCAAGAAATTTGAGCACTCTTTGAGAGACTGAAGAGAAAGCAACAGCAGTCAGAGGCTGCCTGATGTCCTCTCCTTGGGTAAGCTGTCCCTTGTAAATTCTTTATTGCAGAGAGTAGCTGTAGACATTTTTACAGTTCATAAATGTGAAACCATTCTCTGTTTCCTAGCAATAAAGATATCCTGTGGCAATGATAAGCTAATTACACACTGCGTACAGAAGATTAACTTTAAATGTGTTGTTCTCTCATGTCGCTGGCTGCCTCCTTTTTCTTGCTTTAAAAGGAAGGGCAGATTTAGCAAATTAATCATTTTTAAAACACTGACACCTTGTTACAGCTTTTATCTTATTGACCGTATCTCAAAGCCAAGCTCTCATCTTTGTACTCCTTTTCCTTTCAGAGTCAGCACCTGATACCCTCCCTTTGGTGGAGACTTTCTTAATCATCTCTAAGATAGGATAATCACTGAGCAGTGCAAGGAGTTGGTGGAGTTCTATTTACATAAATAATGCTGCTCACTGAGGTATTTTCACTTATTTCCTCCTTCTCTTCGATTCTTATATGCTGTTATTCTTGCTCCACACGTTTTACCCATCTTTCATTCTGGCTGTTTGTGGTTCTGCTTTGACCCAGTAGTCTGAAAAAGCAGTTCAGATGAATTATCCCCACTTAATTTGTCCAGAATGATCTCATTTCCATGCTGAATTACTAAGTAATTCCATACTGGATTCCTAAGATTGCTAAATTTCTCCCATAATGAGGTTTCTTTGAAATTCCTATGACTTTTCTCTAAAACTGAAATAATTCTGTGCCATCTCATCACAGATTGCAGTTTAGAGCCCCAGGATATATTACTAAAACTCTTTCCAAGTGAAAAATCCCCATCCCTCCTCCACATTCAGTTCTTAATAATTCTTTAAAGGCTACAGTGATTTTTCTCTTGGAGACTTTCTAAATTTTGATGGACAGATTTTTAAACAGAAACTATCCAAGGGTAATCTCACTCTACTGTGTGTTTATCCATGCATCAAATACTATGAAGTTCATTGTCAGATGAAAATCTGAAGGTTGTGGGCATGCCTACAGACTGATGAAAATAATAATGTTTGGCTGTGATTTGGATCACAACAGTGTTGCCCAGTTATATCAACGTAAAGTTGGTGATTCTTCTCTAAGAATTTAACACTGGCTTACAGCTTCTTCAGTAGAACTTAATCTTTCCACTAAACATATATTTCCATTTCCATCTTGCAGTCTCCCTTTTTATATTTTTAGGTTCTGTATGTGTAGTTGTGTGGGTTTTTTTCCTCTTTGGCTCTTCTACCACATCCTGAAGTCATCTTCTGTTCAGTGTATATGAGGAGATCAGTAAACAATGAACAAAAAAAAGTGAGAAAGACTTTAAACCAAAGCCAATGCTGGCCTGAATCTACAATAAAAAGATGTCCTTTTCCTTCTGATGCAGGAAAACTTGCAATTCCTATGACACTGAGTTGACTTTGGCACACTACACTGTACACTATGGTATTTATAACATCAATAAAATGTCAGAGGGCTACAATGTTTAGCTGGTTGTTGCTAAGCTTTTGCATTCTGCTTTGTTTAGTAATTTGATACCTCCTTTACCCTTTTCATTAAGTAGCAACTTTCTAGAGCAAATGATTGGGTCTCCCCAGCAATCACTGGAAGCAACTAAATTGACGTCGTGGAAAAATTGCTCAACAACAGCAGTAATCCCACACCAGAGACACATGGGTTGTACTTAAGATGATGAGCAAAAACTTAGGGTTGATTTTTTGAAAAGAAATTCAAGACATTATTGGATTTCTACCTCTGTAGAAATAGCCTTGGCTCCCAGCGTTTCATGCAGAACTACAAGCTGAATACCAACCTCGTTGTATAAATCACTGAATTCTTCAACCACATCTTTTGGGATCCTTTGCCCATTGTTGGTAAGGTGATAAGCCACCCCATTCTTGGAGTAAAGACTGATCCGGCCAACGCTTCTCTCACCATCAGTAGTCTCTTCAAGTAAACCATTGTCTTCTGCTAGATGATAGACTGGGTTTCCATGTGAACCATGAATCCACGTAGCTCCCAGTTCAAAAGTGGCGTGCCCTGCAGGACAGTAAATAAAGCACACTAGTTTTGGAAGCACATTTTTTTGAAAGCATGAAGGGATGCTTCCAACAAAGATACATTACAGTGACACTCTTCTGATACTTAAGGTGAAATACAGAATCCTTTAAGTTCCCAGTTCTTACCATCATTGTTGTCAGCTGCACTACCTTTGCTACCTTGCCTGTCTAAGTCAACTCCTCTAATCCTAAAACCTGAGAACATAACTGAACAGCAGAGGATGTACTGCTTGTGTTGAAGTTTAAGCTGTGTAGCAGTGAAGAGCTGGGGAGGGAGAAAAAGAAAAGAGCTGTAAGGAGCCATGCTGCAATACTGCAAGATATGAGGACACATAAGATGATAATTACATAATATAGAAAGAGAATCAAATAATTATTCATGTTGGAAAAGACCTCTAAGATCAAGTTCAACCGTCAGCACATTACCACCATGCCCAAGTAGGAGAGAAAGAGCATATATAGATTACCTAAAGATTTCAAGTACCTGCTGTACTGTAGAGGAGGGGAAGAAAAGCACCAACAGCAGGGAGCAGGAAGAAAAACTGGGACTGCTCTGGGACAGCAAGACTGATCTACAAACTGAACCCATTCCCGTAATTAAAAATGAAAGTTATTTACAAATATGGTTTGTGTTACAGTTGTTTAATACTCAGACTAAATGAAATAGAAAAATGCATTTCCATTCCCCAAATGAGGGAACAGATCCTATTTTACTACAGATACCCTCGAAAATTTCTATCAGGTTCTTTATAAGCTGCAGTTTAAGCATCAAATACATTTTACCTTCAGCACTGCTAGCAAAACAGAAAGTTTGGTCAACTCCACTGTCCTCCTTTCCTTATGACCAACAGAGTTTGAACCAGCACTGGGCTGATGGCACAAGACAACTGGAAGGAGGTGCTGAAAATAAGCTAAGGTCATGTCTCTTACCCACATTTTTACAGATTCTCAGAATCCTGCAGCAAAGTTTAAGAGAGCAGCATCCCAGTCAACAGCACACTGTGCAGCTCACTCTGCAAAGGTGTGCAAATGCCTCATTAAGTGGGATGCTAATAGGATCCAGCTTGATAAAGGAAGGATCACGCAGTTAGCAGTCATCAGATGCTGTTTAAGATGTAAATTGATGCTCAGCTAGAAAGCCACTGCAGCACCATACTCACGCAGTCAAGTTTAATAGGTGAAAGCTTCAAGAAACGTGGCTGAGACATTGCCTGAAAGAGAAACTCTATAATCTCATTTTTCTGAGCAGACAACAGCCTTGTCATTAAATAGCACAACTGTCCTTCAAAGTACACATCTGAAGACTTGAGTTCTACATGTTCCTTATGTGCATCCTTATGTGTGTCTTATGTGCTCCTATCACAAAGTGTGGGGTTCAGAGCGTGCAGCATCCAGGCACAAAGATGAATACTGAAGACACTGCAAACCCTAACGTGGTCCCTGCACACCCAGCCTGGTGGAAATGACTGCTGTACATTGGCAGCCAAAGGTACAAAGCTCATAAATATTGCATGTGGCAGTCACCTCATTAAGGCAATCCTCCTGCGAGTCATCACATGCCAGATCAGTAGCAGGAATAGTGCCTGCTGCGTTATGTCAGGAGCTTGCTCTCTGCAACACTAACAATCTTCCTGCATGGAGCTCTCATTTATGGAGACATCTGAGCTTTGAAAGAAGAACATATTGGTGCTCAGTTGCATGAATGATGCATTGCTATTTTCAGTAGCTGCACGGAATGTCATCAAATACCAACACATTGAAAATAGTCATTCTTGCCTTCTTAGAAACGCACAATCATCTCCAAGTGGATAAGCTAGTCGTTACCTAATGTAAGTTATACAATCAATTATTTCAAAGTGTAAAATTAAAGGACACATTTTTTAAGCAGAGAAAGTTAATTTATAAAAGATTTTTGTTTCAATATTAATTCTACTTGGAATGAATCCATCCATACAACAAAAATAAAGTCTACTTCCTACTCTGCAAATGACATTACTGAGACACAAGCAGCAGTCAAAACAGGCCTGTGCACAACAATAATACACCAGAGCAGCAGTTTTCCAAAGGAATGCACAGATTTCATATCAAGCCTTCTAACTACGCACAGGAACTCTCCCATTTCCCTTTGAAGCCCTGACTATTCCTTGCGTATCCTGTCGTGAAATATCTGCAGTGGGGACAGATGTCGTGGCTCTTGTACAAGAAACACACAGTCCAGAAACAGAAACCCTCTGCCTCACCTGTCCTAGAGGGTTCACCTGTTCTGTTGAAGATTTAAAGCAGATCTTCAGGGAAATGTAATTTAAATGCCATTTAGACAAGCAGATCAAAGTGGTCACATGTTGAAGACCCAGAATAACCACTTTTGTAACCATTTTTGGAAGTTTTAGACAGTTCAGAGAAATGAGCAGGTCTTTCATGCCCCAGGTGCAATCTTCAGAAGTCTTCAGAAGTCTGCTGTTTGGAGCAATGTGGAATGGAAAAAAAATAGAGCTCAAGATTATACTGACCTTTTGCCTTGTATCAGCAAATAGGGAGGTTGTGGGCACTGCTGCTTCTGAAGACTTCACCACTCAACACAGCTCCAAAATCATTTAGCTAAAGGGAATGTGAATCTACAAAGCATGCAAGGGCCAGAACATGCTCCCACCGTGGTGGGAAAGAATTGCAGTCAATACAGTCAATTCCTATACAGTATAATCTTGATAATTTGAAAAAGATCATTTGAGTTGGAAGGGAGCTTTAAAGGTTCAATGCCTCTCTCCTGCAGTGAACAGGGACATCCACAGCTCCATCAGATGCCCAGAGCCCCATCGTGCCTGACCTTGAGCATCTCCAGGAATGCCTCACATTAGATTAAGTGATAACCAAGTGGAAGTAACTTCCCAAGCAAAGGTAAAGAGATGATGAGTAACTGATGAAGGTGTCCAAAGAGAGAACAGCTCTCTCTGCTAGTAGCACAGAATTATTTTGCAGGTGCACTGACAAAATTATATATTGCTCCCTGAAGATTTCAGATCTTTGACACTTCCCTTCTCTTGCAGACACGATCCAGGATATTTTTAATACAGTGTATTGTGTGTAGAGTACACACTTCCCATTTTAAGCTCTATGCCAAGTCTCAGCAGAACGTAAAGTGCCCTGTTCAAACCCTGGAAATCAGTTTTGCCTTTTTATTCATTTCCCTTCTAAAAGTTCATAGGACATCACTGTTTATTTATTGTGGTGAGTTTATAGAGTAAAATATAGAAAGTGATGTTAGATTAAAAAAAAAAAAAGAGGCCAGCAAGAGGCCAAATCTAAGAAATATACAGTGATATCAGAAACAGAACGAGTTAACTGCAGTTTAGTAGAAGCAAAGAGCTTTTTGTCTCTTATGGAGAAGAGACAAGCAATGCCCTCATAGATACCAAGGCAAAGTTTCACTGACTACTGAGCTGCAAAGGGCTACACTTATCATACCATATCATAGAATGGCCTGGGTTGAAAAGGTCCTCAAAGATCACCTAGTTTCAACCCCCCTGCCATGGGCAGGGTCACCAACCACTAGACCAGCTTGTTCCACTTGTTCCAGTACTTTGCATTTACAAGATTTTACAAGCCCTCCTAACTGACTTGAGAAAGGAAGCCACAGAATTAGGAAAGTAGGAAGCCAGTATGAAAGGATACACTGAAGAGGGTTTTCCAGCAGCCTGATTCACAGGGAGCAGTTCTATAGGGAATGTAATGGGGCTATCAGTAAAACAGAATAGCACTGAGCTTGCCCCTTTGCTGCCATGTAAGTCACAGAGAAAGAGACTACCTAGAAGATTTACTGATTGCTTCTAGTCAGCGGTCAAGCTGAAAACAGTGGTGCAAGCTGTCCTTTACAGTTACTTAATCATAGAGCTGCTTCTATAGAGTGTTATCATCAGTAAGACCTTCACTGTACAGAAACATGGTCCATTTTGGAGCATCCCTTGCAAGACATGGGTAAGCACACTCATACCAACTCATTCACCCTGAAAGGAGCCCAAGATGCACACGCCAAGAAACCTTTTGCAAGTTTTGTCAAATTAACTTAATAACAATACAAAAACCTACCAACATTAAAAAAAAAAAAGAGAGAGAGCCCAATGGATGACTAATTCTTACCAAGTTTCACACTTTGGACGCGGCCTCCAATTCGATCAGTTGCCTCAAGGATAGTTACATCCGTGAAACCACTTTCCAAGAGCGCTTTTGCTGCAGACAGGCCTGCAAGCCCAGCACCAATAACTACTATTCGAGGTTGTCGTTTTCTCCGTAGGCCACTACTAAGAGGATCATCCGTGCTGTCTCCAGATATTTCACAACTTTGCATGCCGTCCAAGCTCTCTTTCTAAGGAACCTATGGAAAAAGCAGGCGAGAGCGTTGATGGAATTCGGCTCAGTGGTATCCTCATCAAAGTCTCTGCAAAAAAAAAAAAGTCCAGCAGGAGAGACAGTGAACTTGGGATGTATAAGAAGGATAACTGAGGTCAAATTGGGTTGCGACAGCCTTTTGGCCTGGAGCAGGCTACTGGAAACTGGAGAAATCCCCACCCTCTAGTGCCATGCAGACTATTTCCAGTGAAGCCAAAGGGTTTTTAAACTCCCATCTCTTAATATAACCTCCAGAAGTGGCAATTTTGTGGTAAAGACTTTAAAAGAATGAATGAGAAAACCACATACCCAGTGCTGACATGCTCCACAGCACACTAATGAAGCTTCACTTTGCCTCTGTGGCAACCACAAAGCACCAGCTTCAGATCACGTAACGATGGGATAAGTTAGAAAGGATTTAGCTCAAAGCACAGAGCTCAGATATCAAAACCAATCATTACCAAAGTGGTACAAAATGCTTCAGCTGACGACATTCACAGCCATGTGATGCAGCCCCTAGAGCCAACATTGTCCTGACACATCAGGAATTGCCTTATTCTTAAATGAGGAGAGGTTCAAACCCACAATAGACCTGACTAGAACAGCTTTACCTCTACCTACCCAACATATCCAAATGCTTCTCCAAGCAGTATCCCATGTTTATAGAGGCCATCTTTTTAACACTGTGTACGCCATTACTTCTCAAATTCCATTGCCCTATTATAGTACACAACGTAAGCTTTATATTTGAGGGTAGACCTTAATCAGAGATCATCAAGTAGGATGCCATTATACACACATGTCAATGTCAGGACATTTGGCTCAGTGTGGGTTCACACCAACCCTCAAGAGCACCAAGAAACTGGTCACGAAGTGCCATACACCTCCAAGTCTAAGAAGATATCAGTCCTGATTGATAACAAGAAACACACAGCCCTGGATTCTTCAGCCCAGGCTTCAGACAGTGCCCAACAATTTGTACGAAACATGCTCAAAATTCCCAGGTTTCTTACTGCCCTCCTACCCAACACTTACCAAAACCCAATTATTGCTGCTTACCTGCTGCCAAGCTGCTGGATATTCCTTTCTGAGCTCTTTCCCAATTCTCCAAACATCTGGCCAGCATCAAAGACTCCTGTTACTCCCTTGCATCACCAGGAGAAGTTTCAAACCTCTGTGCTTGAGAAACTGCTCAACTATTGCCGTATATGACCCTGCGTGCTAATTAAATACAAAGCAACAGTGATTTCATTTGGAGAGTCCCTTTTACTCTGGGATCCTAAAGTATTTATGCATGTTGGTCAAACATCTCCTGCCCTCTGTAACAGAAGTGACACAGGACTGCAGTCCATAGAGATTTAAGCAGTGGCGTAAAAAATAAAGTTGTCTTCCTGGTACTCTTGACAATCATTTTGAAAACGTGTAGTTTCAGCTCGAGCAGCTTCAATTCAATTCACTCTATGTGGGCTTACCTGCAAGGGATAGTAGCACAGTGGCTACAACTTACTGCCTATGCAGTGTGCTCCAACTGCCACTGGACAACGGAACAGGCAACACAGAGCCACGTCAAAAACTGCTACTGCTGTTAACAGCCATCACCTCCTGATGAGCAGATCTTGGCTAGCAGATGTCTGTCACAGGGAGCCAGCCACCGGTGTTTGAAGAGTTATTTCCAAGTCAAACATGTCAAGCACTCAGTGCTTTCTAGTCCACGTGTGGTCATTTGGCAGGTAGGAAAGCTGTGAGCTGCCAACACGAGGTGCTGGACTTACTGCTGAACAAGCTGTCCTCAAAAGCACTGCAATACTTTGAGGAAGTGGTAGCAAGAACGTTTTCCCCTTGGTTTTGCAATCAACTGAAAAGCTCTGGAGCAGGAAGAGAAGAGGAGGATGCAAAGGTCCCTCCCTACAGGAGCGATGAGATGGGTTAAGATCCCAGTTGCAGATAACTTCCATCACTGCTCATCTTCTCTGGAGGTTAAGTGAAGCCACTATATTTCATGGGACCTTGTACCAAAGCTTCTCAAGGAGCAAACAGCCCATGGATCAACCAGTGCTCCCTTACTTTCCAACCCAAGCATGCCAATTTATTGACTTTTCATCTAACAAAGTAAGAAGTGAGATTTCTTTGGGTTCTTTCAAGATCTTTAAAATTGGCCATGAACACTGGGACCTCTCTACTCAAAGCCTTGGGGAAGCCCATCACTGGAGTATGAAGGGCAAAGAAAAGGGTGCCTAGGAATGGCCACAGAAAGTCATATTGAAGAGCATGATTGGTACAAATTGGAACAATGCTCTCCTAATTTAAGGCCAGCAAGCTCCCAGCAGTAAGTCCAGTAGGGATGTCATACAGTAGAGCCAACATCCGCACCTCTGACAGTAACAACCCCTGGGGACTTCCCTTACATTTGCCTCCTCCTTTTTGAACACCTCTCTACTTCTGGCCTTCACATCAGCTCTGTGGTGAGGAGCTCCACAGCCTTATTACCCAGCCCTTAAGAGAAATGCCTTCCAGACTTACTACAACCCACAGACATTTTACAACGCTCTCCACTTCTCAAGCAGTCTCCAGACAACACATCAATGTGAGCACTTCAGTTGCCACAGTAAAGAAACATCTCTTCTGCCACCTACACCCCATACGAACAGCTGTAGCTCAGCTTTTGAAGTACAGCTTTCCTAATCCTGGCTTTGGCAAGCTCATGTGAATTCTTCACATGAAAGCTTTAAGAAAATGTTTTTCCCTTCTCTTTCAGAATTTTAATATTGGATTAGGTGAGCTGTCTAGACACAAGAGAAAATAACAGGTTGTTTTGTGTGTTCAGAATCCTGATTTAGAAACCACCCTTAATTAGCCAACAACCTTTACTGTATGATCAGCAGGGGAAGGCAATTAAGATTTAGCAAGAGCTTAGGCTTCCCAATGAAATGCATGCTTCATTGTGAAACGTACAGACAATAAAACATACATGAATCCTCACTGCAGTTGATTTCAGTATTATTCATACACTGGGAGGTTCATAAGTAAGATAAGCACATAAAATACCTTATTTTTTTTTAGTGTGTGATGTCCTACCGTCATTATTTGCCAAGCCACCAGCCAGGGTTACATCCAATTATGATATATATACACACATCATCTCCATCGTGTCTTAAAAATGCATCTTTGATCCTCTTACCTCTTACTTATCTGAGTGCCTTACTCATGGTATTTTACTCAATTCATTTCCCAGACCTGCTCTCTTTTCTCAATGTCCATCACCATGCTGCCCACACCTCCCTAAGTGCCACCACCCTTCATTTGCCCCTTCTCACTACTGTCCAGTTACCCCATTCCAAAAAATATCTTTAAAAAAATCCCTGAAAACATTCCCAAGAGAAGACCTGTGCTCAACTGCTGCTTCCCAGCAGGCAGATCTTTGCAACAATGCACTTTCTCCAATGGTCATCACTGGATGACCAACTTGCAATCTTAAATTTCCATTCCTAGTATTGCTCCCTGGATGCTGGTATTATCTTCCTCTAAACCAGCAGCAAAACCACCAAAGTTCAGAGGTGTGTCCACTTAAAGATTTTCTTCCAGTTTTGCCAGCAAAACCTGGCAGCTCACAAGGAAGAAGCCAGGGAAACAAGGCTGTTCACAGCTGCCATCCTTATGACAACAATACTCTCTATTCTTCTAGGACCCTTAAGGAAAAGGTCAACGAGGTTCAGACAATATAAAATACCAAAATAAAATAAACAAAAACATTTCTCAAGGAAATCTCCTATTCTTAGCTCACCCGTATACTACCCTCATGGCAGCACTGTTGTAGCTGTGACGACACATGGCAATGCACTGAAAACAAAGCTTGCATGCTTAAAAGTTTGTCTATGAAGTTTTATTTTCTTGGCTTTTTTTGTGTGTGTTTTTTTTTTTTTTTCAACCTAGATCAGCTAGTTTAAAAAAAGACCTTCCTCTTCCTTCAGGTTTTGCTTCATACCACACAGTAAGTTATATGCAAGCTGGGGCTGTGAGCTTTCAGCATGCCACAGACAATAATAATGGTCCCTTGAGGTGGGACTCCTCTCCTCACATTACTTTTTGGGTGTCAACTTGCATCAGCTGTCTGCAATCTGTCCATCAGTGGAGGCCACCACAGGGTAACCCAGCCTGCTGATTTTCTCAGGATCACAAAATCACTAAGGTTGGAAAAGCCCTCTAAGATCACCAAATCCAACCCCAACCCATCCCACCATGCCCACTAACCATATCTCCAAGTCACATCTCCAAGGTTCTTGAACACTTCCCATGTTTGTGACCCCATCACCTCCCTGGGCAGCCTGTGCCAGTGCCTGGGTTCCCACTGGGTCTTCCTTTGCTAGGTATTAAGCATCATCCTTAATCAGCAACCTAACCAACAGCATGTGTTTGTCTGAAAGGAACTTGGATAAAAAAGAACAAGGTCTGACTTCATAGGAAAGACTAAATGGAAGCAGAAAAATCCACCCTTCCTTTTATTATTATTTGAATTGCAACTCTTCAGAATACAGTCAAGACATGACAGGGCACTACATATGTGTCTGTAATGGAGGTTCATTGCTCTCAGTCCAAAGAGTGTTTACAAACAATGAATACTTGAAAGCAACCATCTCATTTAATCCAGGCAGAGATAAAGCAAGATTGAGCAACCAAGAGCAGAAGCCAGACCAATTCAGAAACAGAACCAAAATGGCTATTTTTAATAGTGACAGTAATCAGCTGTTGAAACACTTTCCACTATAGCTAGTGATGATATTGCTTGAAGCTTTTAAATCAGAACTGAACCTCTCATAGGCTCCAGAACCACCTGGATATGGAGTATGGTGGTGCAAGTTAGCATGGTGCTACAGGGACAGTGCACACACGGGAGGTTTCTAGTGATGCCTAAGAAATGGGAAGTAAAAAATTATAATTAAAAAAAAAAAAAGCAAATTTTTGGATTGTTTCAAAAGCTTTTTTTTTTTTTTTTCTCCTAATAGCTGTAATGATCTCCATTATTTCATCAAATGCATACAAAAGAATGGCAGTGCTGATGGCTGTGGTTCTCCTCAGCTCCTGGCACAACAAATGCCCGTTTTGTAACTTCTTCCCCTTTTCTCCTTTCATCAGCCTTCTCAGAAGCCTGTTGTTACAGGATGCTCTTTCCAAGCTCTCCAGGCTGTAAACATGTCAAACTGGAAGATCGTTCTCTTTCTGCCTTCCCCTCACTCCTCTCTTTCCCAACCCAGCCAGCTCCCCACCAAACTCACTCACAGCCCTTTTCAGAGTCATTTACACCATCACAGGTAAAGCACGGAAGCAGAAGGCAGGAGAATTATTAATTAAACTTAAGCACTCCACATCAGTCAGATGCGTGAGCGAATGGAACAGGCAGCTGTTAAATCTGCCTTTTGTTCCACGGTTGTGCAAACACCAACCCAGTGAGATTGCAACAGGTTTACTGCAGCGGAAGCAGGCACGCCTTGTTTGCTCTGCTACCTGGAGAGCTGCAGGAGCAGAATGGTCCTCAGCCATCCACAGACACACCAGTGCCCTTCCTGAGCTTGTAAACCTGTGACACCGACAGCACAGGCATCAGTGAGATGGAGGTTAATTCGTGTTGGCTGCACATGCTGGAAACTCACCTCCTGCAGAGCGGTGTTTCATCACCATTCTCGTGCTCAGGCTTTATCCAAGGCAACATTTCAGTCTGAACAAGCTTGCCAGCTGGATGTGGGCAGTAGGAACAAGTCATCCAGCCCCAAAGCAGTCCTGCTGGCCTCTCCTGCAGGCAGCAGGGCTTGCTAGAGGAGACCCATTTCGACAGCTTACCAAAAGTGGTAGTCAGAGGCATTTATTATGAAACCAGAGTTTTCCAGGGCTTGAAACACAGATCCTTGTGGGTTTTTTTATCCCCATCGTTGCACCTTCAGCCCCTTGCTTCTCAGCACCTCTTCATGCGCTGCTCACTTCCCCATAAGGCACGGGGAAGCCAGGCTGCCTTTCACAAAGACAAGCCAGCATTTCTACTACCTGCCTTATGTTTCTGTTGCTGGAATTTATAGGGGTGGCCATGAGAGAAAGGCAAGTTTGAACCTCAGTTCATCTACAGAATAACAGAATCTCCTGATTGGAAGAGACCCTTAAAGGTCATCTCATCCAAATCTCCTGCAATAAACAGGGACATCTACATCTCCCAACCCTACAGGGACGTGCTGAGGGCTGGGGCTTTTCAGCCTAGAGAAGGCTCTGGGAAGACTTGAGAGCAGCCTTTCAATATCTGAAGGGAAGCCATACGAAGGAAGAGGACAGACTGTTTAGCAGTGTCTGTTGTTGACTGGATAAGGGGAAACGGTTTCAAACATCATCCTAAGTTTTCTGAGATTTAACCAGGTGAAAGCTCAAGCCATCAAATGTGTCTTGAGGCACTGAAAATGCTGCCGTTCAGCAGTGCTGACCTTAACAACAGCATTACAGAATACTGACCCACCCCAGTGACACACAGTGCACAGCTGGATCAGACATCAAGGAAGGAAGCACAGTAATAACATACCATGTGTATTCTTAGACAGCAGCACGAACAGGATGCTTCCCATTTTATCTGTGCGCCAAACCCTCAGCCTTCTGCCCCAAACCTCCTCAGCATCATTTTTTGGAAAGCAGCAGAGACCTTCAGGCTGACTTGGCATTCTTCTCCCTCCCGAAATACCCCCAAAGAGACAGACAGAAATCATTGCATTAACTTTTGTCTATCCAAACTCAGGTCTCCTCTAGTCTAAGAAAATGGCCTTAACTGGGCTGTCGAGATCTGTAACAAAGCACTTCAAGTCTTACCCACATTAAGACCTCACTTCCAGCTATTTCACCTGTACGTGTTGTATTTAAGACAACTCACCTGTGCAAAACAACTCAGCAAGTAATGAATTTTGGTAATGCAAAATTTGGCACAGCTGCCCAGTGAAGTTGTGGAGTCACCATCCCTGGATGTAGTCAAGAACCTTGGAGATGTGGCACTTGGAGACATGGTTAGTGGGTATTGTGGGGTGGGTTGGGGTTGGACTTGGGGATCTTAGTGGTTTTAATGATCGTATGAATGAGAAACAGCCCAAGGCTGCTCTTAGAATCTTAGAGTTGAGGCCGTGAGACCTTCTGCAGGCCACAGGCTCCAACAGCAGCTCCATTTGTAGTCCTTACCCTGCTGGCCTTGAAAATGAAGCAGAAATGCCTTACATTCTCCAACACAAAAACAAAAAGTTCTGAGAAACAGCATTTTTCATTTCTTTGCTGAATCAACAAAGATGCTGGAAGAGGCTCTGTGGTAAGAGCACTTACTAGTTGAGGCACTGGGCACCTGATTTCCTGAGCAGGCAACGTTTATTGGAAGCTATGTTGCAAGAAAAGACACAACTGCATGGTGTCTGCATCTCTGAGTGCCCAGCCCAGCAGCCCATGGACCATGGGAGATGTGAACACATCAGAATCTATAATAACACACTCTTAGAGACAGGAAAAAGCTCAGGAAGCCTCCTCTACAATTCAGATTCATCATAAATTTGCTAATTGGGAAAATCTCTACACTTTTGAATGCTTAGAGGAGAAGGTTTGTTTGGTTTTTTGGGTTTGTTTTAAGGGTTACCAGCTCATGCTTTTCATCAGGAGACCACTGCACATACTTTTACCACTGCAATCCAACTTGTTTTAATGCCTCAAACATCCCTCAAGTCAAATGAACTTGTTCAAAACTGATTCACACCAGTGCTACTTTTTCAATTGAGTAGCTGTTGACAAGCAGAATATATTTAACAAGCCCCAAGCATCTTGGCATGCACTAGAAAGACTTCCTATTATGAGGTGGTTTTTTTAAAAGCCAACATATGGGCAGAGCAGGTTGTCTGCCACAGGGCACTTCCATACAGAGCTTGGCACTAACCAGACTGCAAAGATATCCAAAAAATAAACTAAAGAACATCATGCCAAGAACACAGGGAATGAATCACACCATTTATAGTGCTCTGATATAATCCACCATTATGCGTTTTTCAAATCCTTCTCATCCGAGGGAAAAGAAAATAAATCAAAATAATTGGCTGGCCTGTGGCTGATTCTCAAGCCTGTTTCTCTGGCTGAAGGGCAGCATGAGAATAGAGCAGGTTCAGCCAGCTCCCAAGTGCTGGGAAAGCAGCAGGATATCTTCAGTATCACAGGTCCCTCTGACAGCATGGTAGAATGCAGCCTCTCCAGCAGGTCAGCACCATGAGATGTGGGCTGTAGAGCTTCTCCTGCTCACACAGCTGATGTAGTCTTACATAGGACACATTCTAAGGAGTCACAGCAGCACTAAAAAGCAGAGCCAATAAATCCTCTGCTCTACAAATCCCCCAAAGAAAAAACAATTAGAAGCTGCAGCTGGCACACCGGCATGCCCTTTATTTTGGGAGATTGTGGGGATAGGTACAAGGGCTCCCTTACTTAGCAGACATCTCACAACATCTCCTCCATCACAACAGAGAGCTTACACTGTCAGAACACTCTGCTCCCACGTCAGGAGAAGCTGGAGAAAATAGAGGCACCTGAATGGTATCCAACCTGCTGCAGTGAATGGGATATTCCTTCACAGCATCATGGAACAGCTCGGATTGGAAGAGACTTCAAAGATCAAGTTCCAACCCCCCTGCCACATGCAGGGCCACCAAGCTCCCCATTTAATACCAGACCAGGCTGCCCAGGGCCCCATCCAACCTGGCCTTGGACACCTGCAGGGACAGAGCACCCACAACCTCTCTAGGCAGCTGTTCCAGCACCTCACCACTCTCTCTGTGAAGAACTTCCCCCTGACATCCAATCTAAACCTTCCCTCCTAGAGCTCAAAACCATTCCCCCCTTGTCCTATCCTAACCCTAGGGATGGGAATCATGATCTAACCTTGAATTCTACAACCTGTGGTGGTAGAAATCTTTGTGTTTCTGCATACTACAGACCATCTGGAACCCACCAACCCCGTGATTTGGCTAGAATCTCAACGAGCAGAGCAAGATGCAGAGGGTAAAGAGCTCAGAAAGACAGCTGTTGAGTTACCTGGGACAAACAACCCAACTGGACTCTCTTCTACTGTGTACCTGCATTGTTGTTCAGAGTTAGTTTGGAGACTCAATACAAGCTTGGCAAGCAATGGCTGACCCACTGCTGGGAGCCTTCCCCTGATTTCCAGCTCTCAATGACATTTAGCACTGGGAGGCATCTGCTGCTTTTATGCTTCCCGTCAATGGCTCAGTGTTCAGGACTGTAAAAGGAAGGAGAGTGAGACAGCAAACTAAAGAAAAAAACAGAGGTAACAAGCTGAAACCACTGTATAATGGATCAGAACAATGCTGCAAACAAGCTTCCTGCAAAACTTGTGTTCTGACTGCCAAAAAGAGCTGTGCCCTATCCCATCTGCACAGCCGTGCGATCTTATCTTCACCACCCTACTTCTCTCTCCAATTGTTTGGGAAACTTAATTGATAAAACCAGCCTTAATTAAATAGGAAACATGCCCATGTTTGCACAACTCAGAACACAATGGGGTCTCAGTCAAATAAACACTGGTATCCCTATTGCATTTGGGAATTCTTTGTGGTTTGGGGTTTTAAATTCATTGCAGCAAGCTTGGGAGCAAAGTTTCAATAGGAATCTTCTCCTCCTCCTATCCTGCGTAATAGAAGGGTGAGACAGGGAATGAATCCACTCAGTGCTCCGCTCTAACTCAATGTGTACATGAGGATTATTTCAGGACACACCATATGAGACATGCTAGCCCAAAAGCAATTATATTTTCTCACCGCTTCTCAGAATCCAGACCCAACAAACTGCCCTGAAATAGCAACACAACTTTCTAAATAG